AGACAACATGGGTAATATGACTATTTCCAACCAGCTGACAAGTTTATGCCAACTGAGCGCCAGGGGCACCGTGCACCATTCAACACTAAAGACCTTCCGCCATCGAGCTTATCGATCTATCGTGTAGACATCCCCACAGATTTACTGTCCGTTTCCGCGTTGCAAGACGGGATGGCTCGGCAGACTTTCACTTCGTGGTATGCTGTTTTGTTGACCAGGCGAACTAGAAGTGTAAGGCCACCCTCCCCGTCCATGTGCCCAAAATATGGGTGCTCATGAGTCAGCACATATTTAGCATGACAATGACGGCATATAGCTTGACTTACTCGCAATAGATCATCCAAGGATCTTGCGGAAGTTCTCTCTGCCAAGACAGCCTTGAAGCCCAGTGCGTCCGGGCTCCAGGTGAAGTCTGCGCCATTTTTCCGCATCAACCTTTCCACGATTGCCACGAGAGCACTGAGATTAGACGCCATTGCGTCGGCTTTTGAACTGTCAAATTTGCGGCTGTTTTCGACACCGGCTATGCGTCAAATGGTGTCAGCGATTTGCCTTCCGCGTTCTGGTTAGACATACCGATCTTTACGCTACCTCCCTCTGTAAACAGTATATCTCGCGGGGTTAGACTGGCTAATTCCCTCCCTTGATCGCGTAGGAATCGAAGACCCTTGAGGACCTGTCAATGGTGAGAAGATTTGCTTGCAGCAGAAAGGAACCTGCACGTACGGGCCAGATAATCTGTGCCAGTTCCTTTTCGGTGATCTGGCACGTGGACGCTATGACCTCATTGAGGGAGAATTCGATCGGCTCCCACATGAAGTAATAGTGTTTGCCATGTTGAAGGACATTGAGAAGTCGCGGAAAGCTGCGGTGGGCATGTTGGTCAATCGCCTGGATCATGACCTCTATCGTAGATCGTTCCACGGTGCACACCTGAACATGGATGAAGTCCATCTTACACGTTCGGTGCCTAGCCAAGATCATTGGCCGCCCGTAGAAAATGCTTGCGCAAGGCTCGTACATCTCCCAAGGGTCTTGTAGCACGATCTCGCGCAGAACAGGATGGTGAGTGGATTGCCGTTGAGTGGATACTTTTGGACTAGAAAGCGAACGGTTGGATGGCTGGTCGGCCCGAGTCCGATCAGAGGGATCCAGCACGGGCGCATTCTCCGTCAATGCCACAGGTAATCTTGCTTTTCCAAACCAAACTGTGCCACGGACGTCTTTTCTGGTAGCTGGCATGGCTGCTCGATTGGAAGCCAGGACGGGACAATGGCGACTCGTTGTCTGGGCGCACCCGACACCCTTTTACAATAGTCCTGTTTGCCGAGCGTTGATCTTGGTTCACGGAGGTGGTATACAGTGATTTTGGCAGAGCAAGGCCAGAATAATATGTCCATAACGCCAGTGTTTTCCAGCGTAACACCTATTTGTATGTAACAGGACGTGTTTCAATGTCCAATTTGGTCAACGCCACAAGAAGTAGATGAGGCCGTTTGTTTGACCATCTGCTTGAGGAACCGGCCAAGGATTATTCGGAAAGCGATGACCAGGCGAGGAGTCGGCGTCGGCTGTCCAGGCGAGAATGAGATAACAAGAACGACTGCACGGCCTTCAGCAACCCAGGGTGCACCGATAAGTGAATCACATGATTTGTGACCTACTAAGACTGACCTGGATTTGATCCTGAACTTCCGCAACGACGGGGTATTATGATTATTTTCGATGGGCATGATGCGCGTGGTGTCGTCGTGAAATTGGTGGACGCCCAGGTCACTTATTTTGCCTGGTGGAAACAGAGTGGATCTCCTGATGAGCTCATCCTTGCTTGGCCTTTGCGCCCTCCTAAAAAGGATTTTTCAGTTCCTTCACTTGAGCTTAGCATGCAACGCCAAATGGTTGAGCGATGACCACCGGCGATCTATCTTATTTAACACTAATACAAGTAAATCTGGTGTAGAATGGAGCATCAGTGGTATTGACTAGAGGGCTCTCCCTGATGGTGATTCCCGTCTTGTGAACGGATCTTTTGCCCAGACCACGCAGCGGGGAAATAGTGGGAAAATTGCTGGGCAAAAACCAAAACATAAGCGGAGCAGACCTCAAAACTCGAGTTGCAGCGGAATGAATAGCGCGGCTGGACTGGCCGAGTCAATCTATGGGCGTCCCGGCGGTTTTAATAGAGGAAGAGGCAGGCAGCTACGAAACGCCCATAAAGATCATTCTAAGGATAGGCCCGAATTACGTCACCTATGCGAGTGAAAGACCGTGGAAAAGAGGGCAGCACATCTTCAGAGCATTCGAGCATTGGCATTCGCGGGCTAGCTAGGATGCAGGTGAAAACACGCGGAACGCATTAGGGGTCTCGCCAAACTCAGTCGGCGTGCAGCGCCATGCGAGACTTCCCCATGCACCAAAAGACCGCCAACATAGAAGCTGGGTGGGTAATGGTCATCCTATCCGATCCGGTCTTATTTCGAATCTACTGGCCCACCGCCGCTTAGTAAGCGCCGTCAGTCGTGGAGATGGAAGGCCTGAAAACACTAGGCATCTTTTTGAACTGCTGTGAAGGGTGGGGTTTCCCACATAGCCATCGCCTGATAGGCTGTAACGGAGAATAGTAACACCAAACACCGGCAGTGCTCAGGGGTTCAACTTGGGGTTCAACTCTGGACATCATGACCGCTCATAACATAGATTACATGGTTATGTTTGGCACTCAACCTACAACTGCGAAAAGAAGTAAGATCCAGTTTGCTTGTCTTTATTCTTCCGGGAGCTGTTACCATAAATTACCAGCCCACAGGCAATATAGCCTGAAGCCGACAACTTCTTCGCGTATAGAAACTAGTTCTGAAAACAGTGTGATATAGATATATATGTATCTTCTTGACAGGCGAGACCTCTACCCCAGTCACAATGAGGCCAACGCATTCTTTTATCTTTCTCAGA